CATTGACTACAATTGCTACCAAGTGCAGCGGGGCTGCCGTAGCTTAGAGCTTGAGGAAGCGTACTTTAGGTCACCGACCTTTCAAATATCAGTTAGCGGATCGCAATCCGCTTACTCCAAGAGTAACTATTGCCTTTCCAAGGCTAATTGACTCTTCCGTTTAAAATCCAAAACCTGATTTGGTATTTATTTTTATGCTCTTTAACTTTGATGTATCTCCGGCCGCCTTTTTTGATGCTATCGAAATCGGATCAGGTACTTCACGGTCCCAGGTCAAGCGACTGACCAGGGGTGATAAGGCGGTGGACAATATAAGCTGATGCTCTGTAGGTGTTGCAGAGGCGAGGAGCCTCGACCAAGATGAGTAACCAACCAGCGTCATGGTATCTGTTTATGTTATATGTTATATCTGTGGAATTCACAAATATTTACACCTTAAGTGTTTCTCCATCGCCATGTGCAAAAAAATGTGCTTTCGCGAAAAAGGACCAATGAACTTCTTGTGAAAAGGGTCGAGTCCTAGTTGGTGCAGGGTGGTCCTTGAGAAGTCGAGATTTTGAGCCTTAAAGAGAGCAAAATATCCATAAGAAGGAAGAGGTATAAGAAAATGATGATGGTTGTTGGCATGAACAGCCATGACTTTGTAAAGTCAAGAAATGTCCTGTTCGATTCAGCAGCGTCGTGTGATGCGCGATTTTTAATAAGAGTAGAAAATTGACGAAGGGACTGAGGGTGCCGAAGACGAATATCATGATTGACATATATAATGCGAAATGTTTTCGAACATTCTTCTGACCTAGAGTTTTCTGTGTTCAGAACGCTTTGACCTGGAGACCATGACTCTAAGCCATTCTGTCTGGTTTCCGCCATATCAAGCCGTGAATACCGCAGCATATAGTCGCCCATATCTTGTTCACCTGACATCATATCTGGAGACTCCAGCTCATTTCTGTGAGGGACAATATATGTACACAAAAATATGGTACGCACCCTGATGTATCCAACACTTAATTTTTAACCTTGATTTATGGAATAGACCACACGTAATCCTTATGAGTTTGGTCATCTTCGCCACGTTGCAGCTTAAATTGATGGAGATCTGATCTTGATCCTCGTCATGCTTTTCTTTGCGAAAAACGTGAGGCAACGAAGCGCTCGCATTTCATCTCCTTAAGTCACTTTGATGTGGACTACCCAAAATGGATGACTTGTATTTTATCAAACTTAAAAGAAGCGGCGCCATACTATCGAATCAACGTTTTACAACGATCTGTTTGTATCAAAGACGTTGATTTGAGTTAAATTTACGTGGGAAGAAGACGGATAGAAAACGTCGACGTAAGAAGAAAGACAAAGTGCTGGAAGATCATGAAAGTGACAGTGAAAAAGAAGAGGTAAAAGACTTTAAAGAGGAGGAAGAAGAATTTATTGTGGGGGGGAGGAGAGGAAAATGGTCGATGAGTTGAATATTCCAGCCCCATGTTCACGCAAAAATCCAGCTCTGATGATCCGCGGGAGTACACTTTACATTTATGGTGGTGTGTGGTGTTGTTGAAGTTGTTGATCGAGAAATAACTTTGGATGATTGTTGGTCTTTGGATCTAAAGCGACTTGATGAGTGGAAAAAGGGTGCTACCTGGCACAATGTCGCTGCAGATTTGGAAAGGTGAAGTAAGTGAGACGGAGGAATCTTCTGACGATGACGATGATGACGAAGATGAATTTAGCGAAGATGAAGAGAATGAAGAGAATGAAGAGAATGAAGAGAATGAAGAGAATGAAGAGCTTTGTGAAGAAAAGGAGAAGACAAAAGCAGTGGAACGTGCGATGGCTATATTGAACAAAGATGAAGACGATGACGGAAAATTGAAGAAAAGGTCAA